GATTGCATTACTCACCCAACAAGGTGAAGACACTCGGTGTTATTTTAGACTTTTAGAAAGGATAGAGTTATTTTTTCAAACTGATCACCAACACCACCACCACCACCCCCCAAAAAACCTTGGCAGAACTGAAAACAATTTCTAGCTTCCAATAGGACCGTTCCCTCCACAGTGACCATATCCAGATATAGGGACCGGTTTCATCTTTCCCTCCAGGAGCCGCTGGTGATTTCAAACTGGAAGCTGAACTGGCCGTTGGGAGCCCAACTCAAAGCTCACCACACCACCAGGCTTCAAAGGAGGTGGGCAACAACTACCTGTTGAATAAAGGAATCAATGCATGGAGAGGGGTTGAGTTTGCATACGCTCCCGTGCACATTACAAAAAGCCCTACAATAAACTAAAGTCCACATAGAATGTACCAGAGAAGTCAGGTATGATGCCTTTGAATGCTTTTTAAAGTTATATTTTAATTTCAAGAGATTTTTTGGAAAAAAAATGCTTCAGATGATAAGGATCTACAGCTTCTTCAAATATATTAAGTAAAGAGTTCATTAGAAAAAATATTAAGTAGGTAATAACACATTTTTCTTAGTTCCTAAAAGATTACATACCAGAGGACTAGCTTCTAGAAGATAGAAAGAACAGCCTATAGAGAAATTATAAAAGAGGCTATATATTAAAAACCTTATAGAGCACAGTTCTTCTACATATGGGGTCACTATGAATTGGTGCTCAGTGGCAACTTAAATATATATACACATATATACAAATAAATTCATTTCAGATGAGTGAAATAAAGATGCTATATATACACAATAGCATGTCTCACTCTCAATAATGTGAAGTTGAGCAAAATAAGTTCTTTTTACACAAGGCTCAGAAACAGTGACAATGCATTTCCTAAATGGGAGGGGCGCACAGTAAATGGGGAGCTTTCTGAGGTTGGTCGTATTCTCTTTTCTTACCTGGTTCATTTGTGTTCAGTTAGGGAACATTTAATTCACTTTGTACATACTCAACTTCTCAATTTTAAAAATGTTTGAATGGAAAACTGATATGTTCTATAAACCTTCACCCAATTAATAACAGCAGCAACAAGAAAGTTAAAATAAGTAGAACGCTCAAAGGATCTGAACGTCCAGTTCACGTAAGAGCAAGTCAAGTGGCCAATATATGAAAACCTCAAATCTCAAAATATGTAAGTTGAAATTGAAAATATGTTTTACTTAAGAGATCGGCCAACTTTAAATTTCATTTTCCTAATTGTCTGAGGGGCAAAAAACAAACCCAAGAAAGTGTTGGTTTGCTTGATTAAATAGAAACGACGTTTTTCTATTGCATTTGATTATGGTTCTTCAGCCTTATAAAATCAACCCCCCCCCTTTTTAGCCCATTTATTTGTTGACAAAAAGCGGAACCCTTGCCCTGTAGCACATCACCCCTTCTGGACAAGGGTGCGTCTTCTGTAGCGCCCCACGTCTCTCTCCGTCCTCTATTATCTGTCAACTGGAGCTGAGCTCTTGAGACCTGATCAGACTCAGACTCAGTCGGTCTTTGGCCAGAATTCTTCACAGGTGGCAACAGAGACATACTAGATCACTGAGAGGCCGCTTAGGTTCCCAGCAACGTGGCTGCTTCATTTTCAAGTTCACCTCCGCATTTTAGAATCTTTCTCCAGCCATTGCCGGGACCTGTCCTTTCAGGGGTGATGCTGTGAGGTGCCACCCCGGTGGCCCTATGCACGACAGAATGAAACCCAGCTCGCCGGACTGTGCCAGCGTCACAATGCTTCCTGTGCTCCAACTCCCTGTGGCCGCCCTGGCTCAGTCCATCTCGGTGAGCACCTTCCTAGTTTTCTTTCTTTCTTTCTTTCTTTTTTTTCAAGCACATCTGTACATTTATTGCCCTCATCATTTTCAAAACATTTACTTTCTACTTGAGCCCTTGGTATCAGCTCCTCATTTTTTCCCTTCCCTCCCCGCCTCCCTGCCTCATGAACCCTTGATAATTTATAAATAATTATTATGTCATATCCTACACTGTCCAACGTTTCCCTTGGCCCACTTTTCTGTTGTCCGTCCCCCAGGGAGGGGTTATATGTAGAATCAGATCCTTGTGATTGGTTCCCCCTTTCCACCCCACCCTCCCTCCACATAGATCTATTTCCCCATCATCATATATAAATCTATTTACATATGTACATGCCTGTATTTAGCCCTCTACAAATATCCTTTGCCTCCAAGTTCTTTCCTCTATTTCCTTTTACTT